GGTCTGGTGGCATCACATGCCCAGATCTACCTGGTCTCAGGCTGCAACAACATTTTGTCAAAGTTGCCGTCCCTGGCATTCTGGGGGACAACATCATCCACCCAACATCTCAGACAGGATGGATCCCTATTGTGCTCTGAGCATGCATGGTGAGCCAGAGGGGCCTTTAGATGATATGTATTAATTTCATAAACATGATCCTGGAAACATCTAATGTCCATATAAAAGAACATCTGGGTAGCAGTGACCATAACATGATTTAATTTATTGTTAGTTGTAAACAACAAGCACACATGTGAAAAATAAAAATGCTCAACTTTAAGAGATCTCATTTTCCAAGGCTGAGAGCTGCTTTCCAAGACTTAGACTGGGAGGGAATATTGGCATCGATGAACACAACACAGAAATGGGAGTTCTTCAAAAAGTCTGTATGTGAACACTCTGCAAAATATATTCCCATGGTTTAAAATGCTAAAAGTCAAACTTATGTGGCTTATGGCCAATATTAAAAAAGCTATAAATAATAAGAATATATAAAATTACCCCCAGTGTCAGAATGCCCGCTGCAGTCCCACTATAAATTGTTGATCGCCGCCATTATTAGTAAAAATAAAAAAGAAATTTCCAGTATCTACTGTATACCGCAATTTGTTGACGGTATTACTTTCACGTAAACCAATTAATTTACATGTATTGGGATTTTTTTTCAGCAGAGACATGTAGCAGAATACATTTTGGCCTAAATTTGATAAAATTAAATTTTTTACATTTTTTTTTACTGGAGATGTTTAATAGCAAAAAGTCAAAATATTGTTTCTTTTCTCAAAATTGTCGGTCTTTTTTTTATAGTGCAAAAAATAAAAACCCGCACAGGTGATCAAGTACCCCCCAAAGAAAGCTCAATTTTTACTTTTTAATATATTTATAAACGATATAGGGTTTGGGATTAAAAATACAGTTTCAGTCTTTGCAGATGACACCAAGCTTTGTAGTGGAATAACGTCCTTACAGGATGTTTCCAACTTACAAGCCGACCTCAATGCACTGTTTAAGTGGGCAACTATGTGGCAAATGAGGTTTAATGTTGATAAATGTAAGGTCATGCATGTGGGGGCTAAGAATATGCATGCATCATACATACTAGGGGGGGTAAAATTGGGGGAATCAATGGTGCAGAAGGATCTGGGAGTTCTGGTAGATCATAAACGTAATAATGGTATGCAATACCAAGCTGCGGTTTCTAAAGCGAGTGAAATCCTCTCTTGTATTAAGGGAGGTATAGACTCCAGACAGAGAGATAAAATTTTCCCCCTGTACAAATAGTTAGCAATACCTCATCTGTAATATGCAGTTCAGTTTTGGGCACCAATTCACAAAAAGAACATTGGGGAACTTGAGAAAGTGCAGAGAAGGGCAATCAAACTGATAAGAGGCATGGAGGAGCTCATCTATGAGGAAAGATTAGAGGATCTGAATTTATTCTGTCTTGAGAAGAAGAGATTAAGGGGGGATATGATCAACATGTATAAATACATCAGTGGTTCATATAATGAACTCGGTGTACAGTTATTCACCCTTGGGTCATCAAAAGGAGCACTTTTTATGTCTGGAGGAAAAGAGATTTAATCTCCAAATACGGAAAGGTTTCTTCACAGTAAGAGCTGTGAAAATGTGGAATAGACTCCCTCAAGAGTTGAATCTGGCCAGCTCAGTGGATTGCTTTAAAAAAGGCCTGGATTCTTTCCTAGAGACACACAATATAACTGGATATTAACATTTATAGGTAGATTTTGTCCAGGTTATATCAGATTGCCTCTCGGGGGATCAGCAAGGAATGTTTCCCCTGCAGGAGAAAATTGGATCATGCTTTGCTGGGGCTTTTTTTTTTTGCCTTCCTCTGGATCAATGGTGGGTATAGGATTATAACTTTTTTTTTTTTGGTTGAACTGGATGGACTTTTGTCTTTTTTCAGCCAGACTAACTATGTGACTATGTAACATCTACATACTGAGCAAAAGGTCTTACCAACGTAGAAGGAACCACAGCTGCATGTAATAACATATACCACACCGGCGGTATCACAGATGACCTTCTGATTGCACCTGAGGGTCCTGAGGGTTGGGCAAGACCAAGCAATCCATTTTTATTATATAGGTACCATAATCACAACAGCCACGTTTAGTCATGCCAACATTTCTCACACGTGTAGGGGATTTCCATGTGATGTCACTATGCACCAAAAGATCCCTTAAAGACCGTGCTTTCCGATGTATGATCTTTGGCTTAGACTAATTTCCCTGCTGAGGGGGTCATCCGACAATAAGTGCCAATTCCTGTCACGTTTCCTCCACTCTACCAGTGAGTTCTGTATATTGAAAACACAGTTTTACCCCTCCAAATTCATCTTGACATTTTGACTTCTTTTGATTAACCGGTTCCCGCCCAGCCAATAGCACAAAGGCGGCTGGCAAAACAACTCGCCCCTCCGGGTGGACGTCATTTGGCGTCCTTTCAGGCATGCGCAGGGGCGGACTGACCATTTGGAAATTTGGGCACTGGCCGAGGGCCCGGGGTCAGTAGGGGGCCCCATGAGATGCCTCTGATACCTTTTTCATAGACTTTTTTGAGTTTGGGCAAGGACACAGGAGCCCCATGATCCCCTATTGCCCGGGGACCCCATGAGTTGTCAGTCTGTCCCTGGCAGTGCGCCTGCCCGCAGGGCCGCTCTGCGGCACGATCTGTCACTGGCCATGTACCTCGGACATGGCCGATGACAGATCTGTGTACCGGCCCCGTTGCCAGTACCATGTGACCTGCTGTGACCAATCACAGTAGGTCACATGACAGTTGTATACAATGGATGGCTTCCTTTCATGCCATCCATTGTATACAAGTGTGTCTAGCTGTGAATGGTCACAGCAATCACATGCACAAGCTGGGCCAATCACAGCCCAGCTGTCATGTGATTAGCCGTGGCCAAATCACAGCTAAACAAAAAAAAACCCTGAATGAATGGATGTCATTCAGGTAAATGCTTGCTTATAGCAAAGTAATTCTTTGCTATAAGCAAATTGTGTAAAAAAAAAAAAAAATACTGATCACTTCCACAAAGTAGTAAAATGTTACTATGGTAACATTGTACTACTTTGGTCATAGTGAAATATGAAAAAAAATCTTAAAAAAAAAAGAAAAAAATTTAATAAAAAATTAAAACTAAATAAAAAAAATATATATTTTTTTTTTCCGTACATTTACCAGTCAGTGTCCCTGATCACCTCCATGCCAGTTATATGATGATGACACTGTACTGCACTAGTGACAGTATGTAAAAAAGAAATTGTGAAAATGTTTTAATTTTTTTCATTTTCCGAAAAATTATGACAAAAAAATTACAACTTCAAAAAACTCGCCATGCCTCTTATGAAATACGTCGGACTGTCTACTTTGCAAAAAGTGGTCATTTGGGGGATATCTGTACTGTTCTGACATTCTTGGACCTCAAGAAATTAGATTGGCCGTCAGTACTTCAGGATTGATCAATATTCAGATATATACCATAGTTTGTGAACTCTATAACTTTTCTACATACTAAATAATACATCCTAATTTGGGTTATTTTTAGAGATGAGCGAATTATTCAAAAATTCGGTTCGGCTGATTCGCCGAATTCGCCGAATAAATTTGCTTCGAGCCGAATATATTCGCTGCGAATTTAACTTATAAAAAGGGTGTTTCTAGGCTTCAGAGAGCCTTTATATTAGTGCAGAACACTGTACCTTTAATTTAAATGCCCTTGGAGTCTGCTGGGGAAGAGAAATAATAATACTGTCAGTCAGTATGACATGCAGATGAGTGCCGTCGATCTTAGAATCACCGCACACTTCACTCATTTGGGCAGTCACGGGGCCAAAACCAGAGTGTGGAGCCACAGTGTGGCGGTGGAGGCAGCAGCAATGGGAGGCCATACAGCACCCTATGACAAAATGGAACCCACCAGCAGTGTGAGGAGACCTGAAAGTGGCACATGGCAGAGTGTGGCGATGGAGACAGCAGCAATGGGAGGCCGTACAGGGACCCATGACACACTCTGGACCTGGCAGCAGCATGAGGAGGCGGTAGAGGGGCCCATGACAGATTACGGGCCTGGCAGCAGCATGAGGAGTCGGTACGGGGGCCCATGGCAGATTACGGGCCTGGCAGCAGCATGAGGAGGCGGTACAGGGGCCCATGGCAGAGTGGCGGAGCGTAAGCAGCTAAAATTGAAGGCCATACAGAGGCCTATGTTAAAAAGTCCCCCCAGCAGCAGCGTGGGGAGACGACTATCAAGAGTCCAATGGCAGAGTGCCGGAGCAGAAGCAGCTTCAATTGAAGGCCATACACAGGCCTAGGTTTAAAAGTCCCTCACAGTTAATTCCAATAACGAACTCTACTCCTCCGTGCAATCTACTTACGAGACCCTGGGCAGGTCTGGGTCCAATTTGTGGTAGAGACTGGTTTTGTTCAGCCATGCTTGAGCGAGAGTAATAACAGGTCTGTGCTGCCCTTTGGTGTCTGGCTTAATGCGCACAACACTGAACGTCCCAGCGTTTGTCAACGATTTGCCGTTAAGTGATGCAAACCCGCTGAACCACGTTCATGAGGAGCCGGTACAGGGGGCCATGAATCAGTATGGACCTGGCAGCAGCGTGAGCAGACGACAGAGGCACATGGCGCAGGGTGGCGGTGTAGGCAGCATTATTCTGAAGCCATACACAGGCCTAGGTTAAAAAGCGGAAGCCGTCAGCAGCGTGAGCAGACGACAGAGACACATGGCGCAGGGTGGCGGTGGATGCAACAGTATTCGGAAGCCAAACACAGGCCTCGGTTAAAAAGCGGAAGCCGTCAGCAGCGTGAGCAGACGACAGAGGCACATGGCGCAGGGTGGCGGTGGAGGAGGCAGCAGCAATGGAAGGCCATACAGCACCCTATTACAAAATGGAACCCACCAACAGTGTAAGGAGACCTGAAAGTGGCACATGGGCAGAGTCTGGCGATGAAGTCAGCAGCAATGGGAGGCCGTACAGGGACCCATGACACACTCTGGACCTGGCAGCAGCAAGAGGAGGCGGTACAGGGGCCCATGGCAGAGTGGCGAAGCGTAAGCAGCTTAAATTGAAGGCCATACAGAGGCCTATGTTAAAAAGTCCCCCCAGCAGCAGTGTGGGGAGACGACTATCAAGAGTCCAATGGCAGAGTGCGGAGCAGAAGCAGCTTCAATTGAAGGCCATACACAGGCCTAGGTTAAAAAGTCCCCCCAGCAGCAGCGTGGGGAGACGACTATCAAGAGTCCAATGGCAGAGTGGCGGAGCGGAAGCAGCTTCAATTGAAGGCCATACACAGGCCTAGGTTAAAAAGTCCCCCCAGCAGCAGTGTGGGAGACGACTATCAAGAGTCCAATGGCTGAGTGGCGATCCGGGAAGTCAGCGTTGTGATTGCAGATGCAATGCAGAGATTCTATGAGGTGATGCCGTGGGTGCGAAGAAGATCATATACCGTCGTACTTCCATCCATAAGACGGAACAACCTGCGAACCGGGAGCTTTATTGCCCTGACCCGCTGAGCAGCTTCTGGGATACCCAAGAGGCCCATGGCAGAGTGGCGGAGCGTAAGCAGCTTCAATTAAAGACCATACAGAGGCCTATGTTAAAAAGTCCCCCCAGCAGCAGCGTGGGGAGACGACTATCAAGAGTCCAATGGCAGAGTGGCGGAGCGGAAGCAGCTTCAATTGAAGGCCATACACAGGCCTAGGTAAAAAGTCCCCCCAGCAGCAGTGTGGGAGACGACTATCAAGAGTCCAATGGCTGAGTGGCGATCCGGGAAGTCAGCATTGTGATTGCAGATGCAATGCAGAGATGCTATGAGGTGATGCCGTGGGTGCGAAGAAGATCATATACCGTCGTACTTCCATCCATAAGACGGAACAACAACCTGCGAACCGGGAGCTTTATTGCCCTGACCCGCTGAGCAGCTTCTGGGATACCCAAGAGTTTGGCTTCTGTGGGGAATATGGTTGAAAACTGAAACTTAAAGGCATGTTGACGGAAGGGCACCAGTGTCAGTGCTCCGGAGGGAATATAGCTTCAAAGCTGACACTTAAAGGTATATCAACGGTCAGAGACCACAGGAAGTGGAGCTTGCGTCTTAAATCGACTGAATGTGGCAGACGTGAAACGTCTACGGGCCGTATATGAAACGGGTTGTTCCTCTTTCTGGAATAAGTGTTGGAAATGGCCACTCTTTTTGGTGTGGCGTTTTGTCTATTTAATTCCGATAACGGACTCTACTCCTCCGTGCAATCTAGTTACGAGACCCTGGGCAGGTCTGGGTCCAATTTGTGGTAGAGACTGGTTTTGTTCAGCCATGCTTGAGCGAGTAATAACAGGTCTGTGCTGCCCTTTGGTGTCTGGCTTAATGCGCACAACACTGAACGTCCCAGCATTTGTCAACGATTTGCTGTTAAGTGATGCAAACCCGCTGAACCACGTTCATGAGGAGCCGGTACAGAGGGCCATGAATCAGTATGGACCTGGCAGCAGTGTGAGGAGACCCGAAAGTGGCACATGGCGCAGGGTGACGGTGGAGGCAGCAGTATTCGGAAGACATACACAGGACTAGTTTAAAAAGCGGAAGCCGTCAGCAGCGTGAGCAGACGACAGAGGCACATGGCGCAGGGTGGCGGTGGAGGCAGCAGTATTCGGAAGCCATACACAGGCCTAGGTTAAAAAGCGGAAGCCGTCAGCAGCGTGAGCAGACGACAGAGGCACATGGCGCAGGGTGGCGGTGGAGGCAGCAGTATTCGGAAGCCATACACAGGCCTAGGTTTAAAACTGGAACCCAGCAGCGTGAGCAGACGACAAAGACGCACATGGCAGAGGATGGATCTGGCAGCAGTATGAGAAGGCGGTACAGGGGCCCGTGGCACAGTGTGGTGATGGGGGCTACAGCAACTGGATGCCAGAGAGTGGCCGATAGGGCTATATACTGCATGGAATTATAAAGTTGTAAAGACAGCGGCCTATAAGGCTATACACACTATAACAATCATAACTTGATTGACCATTGGCCTATAAGGCTATACACAGCATGAATATCATGACTTATTCTGAGAGTGGTTTGGAAGGCTATATACAAAAAGTAATTCATGAGCTGTCCGGACAGCGGACAATAAGTACATATATACAAATCAATTCATCAGCTGTCCAGCCAGCGGCTTCAAAGGCGACACATATAGAAAGCAATTCATGAGCTGTTCAGACAGCGGCCTCTAAGGCGACAGATATACAAAGCAATTCCCGAGGTGTTCAGGGAGCGGCCTGAACGGCTAGGTTATTACTAAATATATTTTTGTGGCCAAACATCGGCCTATAAATAGATGTCTACACAGTGACAAAAAATTATGTCGCCAGACAGCGGCCCCTAAGGCGACAGATATACAAAGCAATTCCCGGTGTTCAGTGAGCGGCTTGAACGCCTAGGTTATTACTAAATATATCTTTCTGGCCAAACATCGGCCTATAAATAGATGTCTACACAGTGACAAAAAAGTAGGTCGCCTTACAGCGGCGTATCCTACAAATTGACATTATAAGAAATGGTTTAGACCAAAAAAAAAAAAAAAAACTTTGATGCGATGCTATACCTTAGTAGATTGTGGAAAGTCGACAAGTCAAGCGTAACTGTGTACATTACAGAAAATCTTAACAAGACAACCAAACGTGGCCAAACCGTGACCGATACAACAAGTTAACAATGTAAGAAACAGGAGGGGGCCAAACCGTGGCCAATAAATAAACAGTCCACCTCATTGATGAGATGGACAACACGTGTCAAATAAATATTTAAAAAAATTGCTATTCCATCGGTCTGGAACTGGTCGACTATAAATAATTAAAAAGTTTAAATTCATGTGACAGTCGTCCAGCGACATATAAATAATTTAAAAACACCAATTCATGAGGGGCCCGACCAGCAGAGTATAAGTCATTAAAAATGTGCAAAACATGAGTCGGCCGACCAGCAGCCTCTCAATAAAATATATATACAAATGTACGGATCAGGTGGAGGTCTTCCATTTGTCCCTAATAACATGTTTTGGGGCATGATTCATGGCGGATTTAGTCAGTTGTGTCAGGAACTGGTGGTTTGAAATCCAGACTAATCCACGCCTGATTCATTTTCACAAACGTGAGTCTCTCCACACTTTGGGTGGACAGTCGTGTCCTTCGCGGAGTTTCAATACCTCCTGCCGCACTAAACACGCGCTCTGATGCCACGCTACTGGCCGGGCATGACAGCCTTTCAAGGGCAAATAGTCAAGGGGATTGTCTACCTCAGTTGGCAGGGTGCTGTCCAAGTAGGCCCAAGCCTGTTGTTTGAGGTCCTGCTCCAGGTCCACCTGATGCTGCTGCTGCTGCGGCTGGTTAGTAGTTTCCTCACTGCGCTGGTGAAGAAAGCTACTCATCATCGACTGCAGACTGAGGAAGCCGCACAACAATAGTGGTTGTGAAGCAGAAAGTCAGTTTATTTAGCACAATCGGTCAATTGCAGCTTGCCGTTGGCTGGAAACTGTACGTTTATGTCACTGGAATGCACTAATCACCCAAAAAATATTACCGCCACCCGGCGTGTAAATGGATCTAACTCTTTGAACGTACAATAGTGGTTGTGAAGCAGAAAGTCAGTTTATTGTACACAATCGGTCAATTGCAGCTTGCCGTTGGCTGGAAAATGTACGTTTATGTCACTGGAATGCACTAATCACCCAAAAATATTACCGCCACCCGGCGTGTAAATGGATCTAACTCTTTGAACGTACAATAGTGGTTGTGAAGCAGAAATTCAGTTTATTGTACACAATCGGTCAATTGCAGCTTGCCGTTGGCTGGAAACTGTACATTTGTGTCACTGGAATGCACTAATCACCCAAAAAATATTACCGCCAGCCGGCGTGTAAATGGATTTAACTCTTTGAACGTACAATAGTGGTTGTGAAGCAGAAAGTCAGTTTATTTAGCACAATCGGTCAATTGCACCTTGCCGTTGGCTGGAAAATGTACGTATATTTTCGATTCTTTGATAGCTGTGTCCCTGAGTAACGATTCTGTGTCCCTGAGTAACGATTCTGTGTCCCTGAGTAACGATTCTGTGTCCCTGAGTAACGATTCTGTGGCCCTGAGTAACGATTCTGTGGCCCTAAAGTCTCTGTGGCCCTAACTCTGTCTCTTAATACACACAGGTCTGTCTCTCTTGAATGACCGGAGGCTAATGGAGAATTCTAAGATGGTCGCGATTTATAGCTCCACCATTACACAGTGCTGGCTGGCTGCTGATTGGCTAATGCGATCACATGTCATGAATGCATTATGGGTCAGCGCGCCTTGTCTGCGCGCCTTCCCAGAGATCCCCGCCCCATCTTCTCTGTCCATTTTCTCCGTCGCCACACATGTCGCCGCCATTTTTGGGAAAATTCGATTCGTGCATCCGAAGTTTGCTAATCTTCGGATTCGTCGCGAATAGAATTTTTCCAAATCTTCGGAACGAATTCCACTTCGTCATGTTCGATTCGCTCATCTCTAGTTATTTTCACCAAAGACATGTAGTAGAATACATCTTGGCCTAAATTTATGAAGAACAATTATTTATTTGCAAACTTTTATAACAGAAACAAAGAAAAACGTGTTTTTTTTTTTTTTTTAAATTTCAGTCTTTTTTTGTAAATTTTTCAAAAAATAAAAACCCCAGTATTGATTAAATACCACAAAAAGAAAGCTCTAGTTGTGTGAAGAAAATGATAACATTTTTGTTTGGGTACAGTGTTGTATGACCGCGCAATTGTCATTCAAAGTGTGAGAGCGCTGAAACCTGAAAAATGGCCTGGGCTGGAAGGGGGTAAAGTGCCCTGTATGGAAGTGGATAAATAGCAGGTTCTCACGGTCGCTTTCCCTGACCCGTTTGTATGCAGATGTCAGTCATTTGTTCTTATAGCCTCTCCTACAGAATCTCTGTTGTAATTCTTTTGTCTCTTTTTCAAAGTCTCCCAGGTCAGTGCAGTTCCTCTGGGCTTGTAAGTATTGCTCCTTATGGATGCCCCTGACCAGGGCACATGGATGAAAGCTACTAGCATGTAATAAGTTGTTGGTTGGTTAGGAAAGCAGTATGCTTTCTAAACAAGGTAGTCTTTATTGTATACTGTTCTGTCAATTCAATCGATAAATCCAAGAAGGTCACCCTTCTGGAATACCAGTTACTCATGAACCGTAGGTTGTATGGATTCACCCTTAGCTCCTTAGCTTAGTGAACTTCTTTCATCCAGTACCAGTCCAAAACACAAGGAGTCTGCCGAAGTACCAGGATAAAATCTTGGACAGGAACACTGATGACACCCCCCCCCCCTGCAAATAGTCAGGACTCCCAATCACCAAGGTAGATGTTGGCATAAGCCGGGGCACATTTTCTGCCCATGGCTCTACCTTGGGCCTGACAATGTTACTTTCCATTAAATTGGAATTTGTTATGCATCAATAAAAATCTCAAAGAGTGCCACATAAATTCATTGTATGCTTTTTTATCAATGGGCTTGCTTCGTAAGTTCTTTTCAATTACCTGTAGGCCCTTGTCGGGAGGAATTGAAGACTATAATGCTTCAATGTCTAGAGTAAGCAAAATTGTATCAACAGGTCACATCATGTAAAAGGATTAACACGTGTAATGTGTCTTTCAGATATGAGAACTGATTGATTCCGAATGGTTGTAATATTTTATCTATATACCTCACTGGTAGATTCAGTGACTGACCTATTACCCGAAATAACAGGTCTTCCTGGTGGGTCAGTCACTGACTTATGTACCTTAGGAAGCGCATAAAACACCAGTATCCTAGGGTGCTCCGTCTTAAAAAACTCAACAGTTTCTTTGTCTATAAGATCATTACCATAGGCCTCATCAGTGATACCATATAGCAGGGGTGGGCAACTGTGGCCCTCCAGCTGTTGTAGAACTACAAGTTCCATGAGGCATTGCAAAACTGACAGTTACAAGCGTGACTCCCAAAGGCAGAGGCATGATGGGACTTGTAGTTCACCAACAGCTGGAGGGCCACAGTTGCCCACCCCTGCCATATAGGATCCTCTGTTCCCTGTCCAAGTTAACAGATGGAATTGGTGTGTACCAATCAGAATTTTTAAGAATGCGCTTGCACATTAAGATGTATTGTTCTGTCCATCAAGATAATATTTCCTCCATTGTCGGTGGTCTTCACAACCACCTCTGAATTTAAACTTAACTCCTGTAGTGCAGTCCTTTCAGCTTGACTAAGATTATCATGTACTAAATAATCCCTTCTCAGACATTTCATTTCATTAGTGATTGTTTTCACAAAACAAGAGATGGCAGGAACTGCTGACAAAGGAGGAAAAGTTCTAGATCTCTTATAGAGCTTGGTCTCTTAAAGGCACCATTTCCACTGTACACTTTTCCAGATATTCCCCACTCACCTCTAATGCCAAGTCTAACATCAGTCTAGTAAAGTCATCATCATCATTCCCCTGATCCATGTGCCCCACTGTCACATAAAGACAGTGGTGTTATTCTTACGACTGTGCAAAATACACAATATCAGTTTCCTTGCAAACAAGTATATATCCTTATCAACCTCAATGGTACTTCCCTTGAGAGTAGGGCAAAAGGACAGGCCCTTGCTTAATAAAGACAATTGGGCTTTAGTCAAATTCACACTGGATGAATTAATTACTTTTAATTCCTCCTGTC